CCCCCCCCCCCCCCCCCCCCCCAAAGAAAAACAGTATGGACACTGTTAGCGGTCTGCTCTCTGCACACTCACCCGATGCCGGAGTGCTAGGTTCTGGAGGTGGCCTGAGTTGTAATGACGCTTCATGTCCCGACCCATTTTCCCTCTCTTCCAGTAGCACGTCTTTCTGCTTGGACTGCTGGGCCTTTATTAACTGAGTCAGCAGAACTGCGAACGCGCTCTGCACGGCCGCCTGGGCAGCATCAGTCTCCACTTTAGGCTGCGCGCTCTGAGAAGAAGGCTGAATTCCTCCCAATGGTTTCGAAGACTCCTGTTGTGGTGTGGATGGGTCTGTCTGTTTTTCACCTGTTGCCAAAATTCCAGCAGGAAGGTTTATTTTATTTAGCTGCTGTTGAGTCTCAGAGTTTACCTTAATGTTCAACACTTGGACAAAATCAGCCATATTAACACTTGTTTTAGACTGTAGTAGGTTTAGTAGAATTGCCAATTCACTGTGGTTTAACTGCTGTCCAGGGCCTGTTTTTACTAAAGACAAAATTTGTATTAATTAGAATTGCCATAATTCACAGCACACCCCGCCCCCCCAAAATGGCTCTATATTACCCTATTAAAATGCCCATTTGTGGGACAGTGTGTAGGAAACACTGTGAAACAGGAATCTCAGTCTGGTTCTAATTTCATGTACATACATTTAAGATGTAACTGCACGTAAGTCAAAACAACAACAACACACTGCGGCCCGTTTTGAAGAATTCTCTTCAGGGCTCAATAGTTCAAAAGGAAAACCAAGACTACTGCTGGAGCCCCATAGGGTAGGTGTGAGTGGGATTCGCCAGCTGTGAGCAGGGACTGGAGGCGGTGGCGCGGGGCAGCTACAGTGTCAGGCACTCTTGAGGCATTTGGGATCTTTCATTCCTCGCAACAACCTTGAAGGCACCCTCTATTATTACTCCCAGTTTGTTTGTTTTTAAACTGAAGAAGAAACTGACATCCAGGGACACTAAATAATTTGCCCAAGGTCACAAACTCTGTAAACGGCCAAGTTGAGATCAGAACCCAGGTATTCTGATTCCGGAGTCTGAGCTCTTAACTACTCACTAAAATCATCTTAAATAAGCTCATCTAAAATCATGCTTATTATCTGAGGACCTAACCTGATTTTGCTGTAAATTCAAATTGAGATGTTATAGACTCCTTAATAAAATGTATTTTATTCAAATTACCTTTTTTTTAAGGTAAGTCCCTTAGGGTAAGTTAGGACTCCTACAGAAGCATGCTTATAATGCTCATGCAAGATGGTATTAACTCATCACCAACAAAACAGATGGCATTGTTTTTCAATTTTCAGTTGAGGCTAGTGACGGTTTGCACAGGTTCTCGTGCAAGCTTCTCTGAGCCACACATAACAAGGCTCGAATGTGTATGATACCACAGAAGTTCAGCGACACTACTCTGATAAGCAATTTCTATTATAAGAATGATGAACCAACAGAAGAGAAACTCCAAGAAAATAAAAAACTGATGAGTAATGCTCTCCTTTTATTTTCTCTCTTTATATATATTTTAAGAGCCTTTTTATTACTTCTTAATGTTATTTGTAGGTTAACTCAAGACAAACTTTTGCAAGTTCTTCCTGTGACTCGCAGGCATTAAGAAACAAAGAGCCATGTCTGTTTGCTGCATCCTAAGAGCCAGTTTCCCCTCATTTTCCATTTTATTTCTACATCAGCAGAGGCAGGCTCTGTGTGAGCTTGCAAGTATTCTGTAACTATGGTGTCTCCTCTAACAAAAAGGGCATTTTCTTTTAAAATAAGACAGTTGATGATGAAGAAAATGAAGCAGAGAGGATTCATTCCTATTTCACAAAACCAGGATTCTTCTTAACAGTGACAGTTTCAAAAAAAGGAAAACAAAAGATAAAATGAAACTCTGAGCAACAAATAACAATTGCTTTTGGTTTGTAAAGTAATGTACCAGTACTTTAATGCAGTCTGACCAAGGTCAAGTATAAGCTTGCAGATTACATGGGAAAGCATTAATGGTAAATCTTTCTCAGCTAATCTACTCTATATTTATATCCAACCACCAAAGTTCAATCTGATCAGATCTGTTTTAATCAACTAACTGATCTTTAAAACTAAATGACAGAATGAGTTTAACAACATTTCTGACAATACTCAAGAGGCCGAATTCTCATGAAGAAGATTACTCTTATGACAGACTGATCCAGAGGAAGAAATTTAGTAAGTTTCCCCCAGATAGCCTTCTTTATCATACTTCAAGTCATTTTTCGAACAATATGAGATTCCAATTTTTGAGATTCTATAATATTAACAGGCCATGTAGTAAGAGTGATCTGAGGACATTATAAACAGAATGAAAGAACTTCTATTATGAATTTTGGCTGTCTTCCTGTATCTTTCTATGGATTCTTGCCCTAGGGAGAAAAAGGAAATAGAGAAATCTGACCATTCACTAATCATATGTAATTTGATGCTCTTCTGAAGTGCCTCTTACCTTAAGATTGTTTCATATTGTGATGCCAGTAGCAGTAAAATGTCTATACTGGCACAAGAAATTAACAGGGAAATGTCAAGTTTGGTGAGTAAATCTTAATGTTTTAGCCACAAATGCTTTAACACGATAGCAACATAATCACAGCTAGCCACAAAACGAGGGAAGAAAACCAACCCGGGAAGCATTACTGACCAGGCGCTACGTTCGAGTTGCCCTGAGGTTTCAGCTGTGAAGACGGCAGCACGCCCTGCGGTGTGCTGGTCCTGCTGTCATCTAAGCCAAGAGACAAGTCCTTTCTGGGGGCTTTAATTGTTGAAACATCATCGGTCATGCCCATCTGCTTCTGTCTTCTTCGCTTTTTACTCCACAGCTCATGACAATCTTGCCATAAAGGAAGACTGGAAAAAAAAAAAGGTATCAAATTGTTTGTCAGTGTTATTTCTTAACGACAACCAAAACCTGCTAATATTTCCTACACAGCACCAAAGCTGCCACCCCACACCCCTGCCAGTTGATCTTGAAGACTCCATACACATGCTGTGTGAGCCCCTCAACAAAAATCATCCTTGAGGCCCCACCTCTATCAGGGATTCACTTTTACAAATGGACTGTTTTTCTGTGGCTTCTGAATAATTGACAAATAATCATTTATTAAAACTATGAATGAACGGGGCGCCTGGGTGGCTCAGTCGGTTATGCATCCGACTTTGGCTCAGGTCATAATCTCGCAGTTCGTGGGTTTGAGCCCCGTGTCGGGCTCTGTGCTGACAGCTTGGAGCCTGAAGCCTGCTTCAGATTGTGTGTCTCCCTCTCTATCTGCCCCTCCCCCGCTCACGCTCTGTCTCTCTCTCTATAAAAAATAAAACATTAAAAAAATTTTTAAAAACTATGAATGAAGAACACATGTTCATAAAACTTTGTTACTATTATCCTTGGTGCAGTCTTTTAAAGCCAGTTCTTATCACAGTACACCATACACTGAACAGGACATGGAAAAAAAGGCAAAAAATATGCCATTCGCAGGAAATGGAAACAGGATTAAAGAGTAGTAAAGGCTAGGAGATAACATTTGTGAAAGACTTTCTAGTAAAAGCTTTTTACTTTTTTAATACCCTCTTATTTACTTCCATAATCAAATGCTCTAAAATGAAACTATGCTACAGAGAAGGTTCAAAAATAGGTAGTCCAGGCTAATTACTCATCAATAAAGAGTTCTGAATACCTAGCAGCTATCAAAATTACCCACAATTCTGAAACAGTTCTACCTTCATTAATGTAATTTCTTAAGACTGACAACACTACAGAGTAACTTTTGCCTAAAGAAAGATGTAAGTGGTTGATTTATAAATGTTTTCTTCTTATCCTAATAAAAATTCCAATGGGAAGTTACTATTATATCTATTTTAAAGATGAGAAAATTGAGGCTTGGAAAGGTTAATAAACTTGCCCAGAATATCTACAAATTCTCTTAAGCAGCCCCAACCTGGTTGATACAGCTACAAGTCTTCAACCTGGGTGTGTTCACCTCTAGGGATGCTTTTGAAGGGGATGCACCTGAAATGGTTTTAAAACAACTGACATAGCTTTCCTACAATTGACTTTGGAGAATGGCCTGCACAGCAAGTTCTTTCACACCTCCTCTTTCACAATTACTCTCATCTCATGTTACAAAATAAAGGCATATGCAACAATATGGTCGAATCTTAGCAATATAATATCAAGTAAAAAAAAGTCATTCCCAAAAGATTACAAACAGCATGACACTCTTTTATAAAATTAAAAACAACTAAAAATTTTAAAATATAACTTTTTATGAGTACATATAGATGGCAACAAAAGTATATACAAAAGAAAACAGGGATGATGGTTACCTCAGGTGGAGGAAGGCAAGGGGATAGGTCGTGGGGCAGGGGGTGGGGAGAGGGTATGATATGACTAACGTAGGTTATTTCCAAGGTTCTAGCTTTTATTTGGTAGGTTCATGGCTGCTTATTAACATCATTTAAAATAACTAATTAAGTAACTAAAAGAAAAAAAAGAGAGCCATGCATGGACCAATGATGAGTGACACAAGGATTATGATTAAACCAAGTCTATGCACCTGAGGTCCAAAAACAAAACAAAGGCATACCTCTCAGCCATCTTACTATGGTGCATTGCCTCAGCGTGTAAAAACCTCCTGGAGTAACAAACAAAGGTACAATTTGAAATATTGATATTGGGAAGCTTTAAGGCATCATAAACCCGCCAAAGACTTTCCTTTCTGTGTGTGTGTTTATGTATTTTAAGATGTGTGGCCTTAGCCCCTGCTGGGATATTCCGAATTCAGATATACTGCGGTACTCAGAGTGGGGCAACAGGAGTGACTTCACTTCTTCCACCCTGATGCTCTTGCAGGAGAGCCCCATAACGGGAAAGCAAAGAAATCCACAGGAAAGGGCTTCTGGGCTCCCTCCCACAATTTAAAGCTGAGAGATTCTTTATGGATGATCTCCACGCTCATCTCTAGGAAAACCAACATTACCCAACCAATAGCTGTAATGTATAGGTTAGTGATGCAGACTCTGGATATACCGGCAATGTTTTCCAGGATGACCACATTTTTATGTGCTTTTTCTGAAGGTTCAAATACCGGCTCAGCCACTTACTTATTGGCTCTCATTAGGCAAGTAACTTGACCTCTGTGCCTCAGTTTCCTTATCTTTAAAAATGAGATTAACAATATAATCTACCTTATGGGGTAGAGGTAATGATATATGTTAACATATGTAAGCGCCGGACAGTGCCCCTCACATAGTAGGCACTGTATTCACGCTTGATACCCATTTATCATCATTCCGTAAGATAGTTTAAAACTACTTTTATCAAATCACTCACATCATGAAATGCTTATTCCAATTACAGTTGATCATATTTTATCTTATAAATTGTTCAGTGCTTTTCACTTACTGTTGAGAAAAAATAAAATTATAGGCTAGCTGTCACTCTTTCACTTTTTAGTAATATGTTTTTTTCTTTCCATTAAATATGCCAGTAAAGTTTTGACACCACATCTAATATAATTAATGCAGTTGTTTTGTTTTTTTGTTTTAATATCCTATTCTCATTTGATTATTCCTAAAATTAATCACAATATCATTATACTTTCAACCTGAATGCTTTAGTGATGCATCCTGTAATTTATTACTGGATTACAGCCTGTTCACCAAAATGTGTATTAATATGCTTTTTTTTTTTTTTTTAATATGCTTATTTTTAATGGAGAAATGCAGTCAGGTGTGTTCTGGTAAAAATTAGGTGATGTGTTTGACAATATGGACAGGTTCCAATTAGGTTATATGACAGATGTTTTCCATTAATTAAATGGGATGTATCTACAGTTCCAAGGTTTTCACAAAACCATGCATTTTAAAAATGTACTAAGAAAAAAGATGTAACATATAGATTGGCGAAGTTGTACTGACGTTACGTGTTGACACCCTAAACTTTTCCAAGTATACTTACTGGATGAAATAAGTGTTAATAAAAGAAAAAGTACGAAGTATAAGAAATCATTTCATAAGATACTAATAAAGCTTCTTTAGTTTATTTTCTCAAAATTTGAAAAAATAATGAATGACTCTTAAAAATCTTTTCAAGCCATAGGCTTTCCAATTCTTTACTGTCAAGAAAATTAAAACAGAACCTTAAGTCGACATCTGAAAGGTCATTATCATAATTTCTGATGACAGATCACTCTGTGATTTTTGGACATAATATGGAAGGAGTGCAAAGAACTCAGTGATAAAACCATGACAAAAGACCATTTGTTCGCAAAGGCTTACTTACAAGGGTACTTATAAAAAGAAAAGAATAAAATTACAATTAATGTGGAACTCTCTCATTCTAGAATGAGTAATATTAATTGGTAGATATAAAAAAAATCACAGTCCTACCTATTTCATTAGGTCGCATTTACAAACAAATTTATTAATTTTTTCTTTCCTTAAAAAAATGTTTTTAATTGGAATATAGTTGCCATATAATTTACCATATAATATTATATTAGTTTCAGGGCTACAACATAGTGAGTCAACAATTTTCTTTCCTTTTTTAAACTGAAATATGTACTAGTAATATTCACAATGACCATCTGATCAAGAAGAAAAAAAGCTTAAAATCAGAAAAATTTTAAGATTAAATTTCCATTTATATACATATATTTGTTTTAAAGAAGTTCAATAAGGTAATCAATAAAATACTTTCAAGCATAAATATGTTACATTAAAAACCTGTGAAATTAATATAAGTTCCAGATTAAAAAAAGGGACACTGTCCAATTGTTGAAGAGTATTCTGTATTTTCTAAATGAATCTTGATGAATATCAAAATGCTAAGATATTTTGATCCCAGTGGGTACATTTACAAGAAGTGAGATAACTGCTCCATTTAAAAGTGTCAACACTTACCATACACTGAAATTTACATCTTTTGCAACTATCTCCACGCTTGATTAAAACAAGTTTAGATGTTAATTAAAAATATGCTCAATATAATTTTTACCAGGATTCTTTCATGTGGGCCACTTGAACCAGGAGATCAACTTAGTATTACCAATAATGGGAGAAGAGTGACCTTACATTCCTCCTGATAGGATAGAGCAGGAAGCACACATCACTACCTAAGTACTATTCTTGACAAAAAAAAAAAAAAAGTTATTCTAATTTTGATCACAAGAAAGCAATTACAGCCAAAATGTAGAATGTTTTACAAAACAGCTAGCTTGAACTCTTCAAAAATGCCAATGTCATAAAAGCCCTCCCCCAAAGAGCAATTAAAGACTGAAGAGAATTACAACCAAATCCAATGAGTGAGCTTTGACTGAATTCTTCATCAAAAAAACACAAAAAACAAAACAAAAACTATAAAGGAAATTACTGGGACAACTGGAGAAATTTAAATATGGATTGCCTACTACATACTGCAATGTTAAATTTCTTATGCTTTATAATGGCACTGTAGTAACAAAGTCCCAGTTCTTACAGCTACATGACAAATCATTTATAAGTATTGTGTCACTTCCACAATACAATATTCAGATATTTCAGGACGAAAACCTTATCTATAGTGTAAAGCAAATGTTAATAATTATTGAATCTAGGTGAATGACATATAAGTGCTTATTGTACTGTTCTTCATATTTTTCTGCAGAGGTGAAATTTTTCCAAATCAGAAGTTATAAAAGATATACTTTGAAGGGGTACTGGTGCCAAAGTCTCAAGCCTGCTGATATATACCCACAAGCAAAGAACAACAACAACAAAAACCCCACCATGAAACAATTAATTAAACAGCGAATGATTCAGGTCCTTCAACATGTTAAGTGATAGATCCTTTCTGCCTGTCAAATCATCCCACAATGTCTATTCATATAATTCAATAAAAACCTAATGAAGTTGAACGTGAAGGTCTCAGAAATAAAGTAAGTCCAATCTAAGTGATAAGTGGAAGAGCCAGGATTTGAACTCCAAAGCCCATGTTTGTTCATTCACAATATACTAATTTTATTACACGGAAACATTTTATTATAGGGATAGGCCTGCTTTGGTGACACTCATCGTTCAGTTTTTAAATTACTATAAAAATCCCTACAAAAGGTCTAGGTCCTATCAAAAAAGAGAACCAAGTGGACTGCTCTGTCCCCTCCCTTTTTCCCCAAAGCAATCCTAGAGAAATTACAGGAGCCACAAGGGAAGGAAGGTTCAAGAACCCAGCTATTCTGACTCCCAAACTCTATACATTTTCTCTGCTTCATCCAATAAACTCCTTCTATACAGACTTTTGTTACTAATGCTCTTTTATCCAATGATAAGGATTTTCTATTATATAGTATGCCAGGAATATTTCAGAACTTCTCTTTGTTACTGAACTAACTGGCTGGCTCCACCCTTTACTAGATTTGTATTCTTGGGCAAGTTTCTTAACCTCTTTGAGCCTGCTTCCTCCTCTATATAAAGAGGACAATAATAATACCCACCTGATAGGATTATAAAGATTAATGTAATACATGAAAAATGCTTAGCATAGCACCCAAATTTTTAGCTATAGCAACACTGGGGCTGGCAGAAGTAGTACTAGAATAATATTAGCAGCAGGAATATTTTCCTAGAGTTGAAATCTATTAATAAAATTAGAAAAAGGAAAAGCTGCTCTTGCTATTCCTATGGTTAGCAGAACATTAAGCAAGGTTCTAAATTCTAGATGTGCAAATTATGTGTATTACTAGTATTCTATTTCTTTTGACTTATTCTTTTTGACTTAAATAATCATGCAATAGCTTCTGATCATTTTATACAGATGCTACTAAAACTGTCCAGATGGGATCTAATTATTAATAAAGAGCCACTTACTCTGGTGGAGGCATCTTTGAGGGCTCCACGTCCCGAAGGAATTCGCACTGAAGAGCCTGTTCTGCAGTGCAGCGCTTACTAGGATCCAAGGCGAGCATGTAATCAAATAAGTCTAACGCGGCTGCAGGAATACTGGCATGAGAGGATTACAAAAGTCATACATGGTCTTTGACATAAGTTTAATGCTTCTTTAAAATAACATTTTATAACATGTTTGTACTACTTTATTCCAATAAATTCCAAATTTTCCTTTGAGACATATTTTTACATACTTTTTAACTATCATTCTAAATAATTTGAAATTTGGCAAACAATAGCATTATTTTATTACTCAATTGGAAATACGCAATTTTAACAATGAAGAACTGAATAGTATAGTTTCCTATAACAAAATAAAAACCTGAACTCAAATAACATGTAAGTTGCTTCATTAAAATTTTAAATGATGTTAAAGTTCCATCATGTAAACTCCAAATCAAACACACAACCCCAAATCACTGAAACCATAATGATAGTGAAATGGTAATTTGCATGTAGCAAAGGGAAAGTCAAAATTAAAGGACATGAGAGAATTGTGATCGGTCTACGTTGGGTCAATAGAGGACAGTGACATTTAGAATTCACAATAACTAAAAAGGAAAAAAAATCAATGCAATATGGACATTTAAGCATCCCCTTCTTACAAAACAAATTCTTCTCTTAACTTTCGACGATATTGCTTCTTTGGTTTCATGGTGTTGAAATATGGTAGTTTGATTACATCAGGCCACACTGCAGGACATGGACTCCCACATATACGGCTAAACAACACACAAAAATAAGTACATCAATGTAAATTACACAGAAAAAAAATCATACATACGACTGCCACATAAAACCTCAACTCATTATTCAATAAAGGTTACATAGAATCTTCATGCAATGTATGAGAAGTTTTACTCAATATTTTAGTCATCCCAACTTATTTACTTGTTTTAAGATATCAACTTATTTTCAGCAGCTACCTCTAACACTGCAAACATTCCTGAAAAGAAAACCTTTATATTTGTACAATCAAGTCTGAAAACACAGATAACACTTCAAATATGCTGACCATATTGTGAAGCAAGCTAAAAAATTTATGCCAATAAATTAAGGAGCAAGAACTTAGGATGTCTTTCTCTTGTTCTATAGGTACCTGTCATCACCTTCTCATGACTATGATGAAGTCTGTGAGAACACTGGAAACAAACTTCCTACATCCAGGAAGGGAACTGTACTATGTCTGCTGCTGAATTCAGTCAACAGGAGGACCCTTCAAAGTAACATTCTTGAGACATAAAAGTTCTTCAACTTAAGTAGTGCCACTGATTTCAAGGTATTTAGAAATTTTAACTGCTTTAATCTCTGCTTATCTGTATTTTGGAAACCCTATTTTTGTACTAACTAGTAAGTCCTTGTTATGGTAATTTGTAGAAGGAAGGCTATAACATGGATAACCCCAGCTGCTAAATATTTACACTGATTTGATAATATATAGATGAAAAATCATTAAATATGCTTACCCTCAGTACACTGAATCTCAAAAATAAATGTGCATTGTACATAAAATCCTCAGCTGGTCTTCATATGTAAAGAGGAAATGTCCAGGCATCACTGACTAAAAGTAAAACTGTTCTGTACATAATAAATATAAATGCATGCACCAATGTGTATAAACAAGCCATGGCTAAAGTTGCCAGCCATTCTTTAGCTGAGCTGTAGAACGCTGTCTCAGAAACACACAAGAAATAAAGATTTCTTCTTTATGGAAGAAATCGCAGGTCTTTTAAGCTATGCCACTGAAAAGTACATTTTTGTTTCAACATAGTTCAGGATTTTTGTAAACCTAAGCTTTTAAAAAGGTATTAAGGTATTTGCACACTGCCAGTCTCTTTTTCCTTACAACTTCCTCAAAAATACAGTGGCTGTCTCAGAAAACAAGGTCAAACTCAGGGGTATGGTTCTATGATCTGGTTTCAAACTGCCTTCCCAGTCTCATTTCCCAATTCATCCCTCCCCACAGATCAATCACTCTTCCGCATTTGTGATATTTCCCCTTGCTAGATTCTAACTAGCAGAATCCTTTTCATTTCTCCAGATTCAGATAAAAAATAATGTATTCAATGAGGTCTTCTGTGTCCCCATAGCTACCGAGAACAGTCACTCTGCTTTCTACTTGCTTCTTTTGACACTATTTCACTCTTTTGTATTTTAGTTTACGTATCTGTTTTTTCTTACTAAACTACAGTTTGGGAACTGTGTCTTTTAACTTTTGTAAACTTCTCTCAATAACAATATAAATAATCCCAGGCAGAGTGATGTACGTTATTACAGAAATATAAAGTATACTGAAATTTTCAAAAGTGAAGGATGCTTTCAACTGCAGAAATACAAGAAAATGTACTCAAGTTATGGAAGAGGTACAGAATTTTGGCTACAGCTCCAAGGATAAGTAAATAATAGACAGGTGGAAAGGAACTAACAAAAATGTTACTGGCAAAGAGAAGTGCATAGGCAGAGGCACAGAAGTAGTCCAGTACAGACATATCAGAGGAAGACTAAGGAAACAGGTGGAATTTAGGGCTCAGGGAGGGTTGCTGGGAGCACAGATAGGAGCCACGCAGTAAGTTTTAACAGGTAGTTCGCCTAACTAGAATGAAAGCAAACTCTGAAAACAAACTTTAGAACTGAAACCTGCCTGTGACAATTGGTCAAACTGCATTGCTTAAAAATCTGTTTCTTCTTTTGTAAAAGGCAGATTAGTTTTACTTCAGAGCTGTGAAATTAAATGAGCTGGCATCTGGCCCATTCAATAGAAATAAAATGAAAGTAAGTTTCATTACCCCTTAGCTAAAGAGTTTCAACTATTTTACTCTATGTGTTGTGAGAAGAGAGTTGAATAGTAAAGTTATCGAACTAGTAGCAGGTCATTTAGATCATCTGAGGCAGGGAAAGTTACTAGAAACTGAGGAAGCAGACATGACAGCAATTGATGAAAACTGCATATTGGTTAAGATCTGTACCCGATGGCCAACCAGCTCTCTCAAGATCACTTACCGAAGAGGTCCTGAGATGCATCATATGCTAAATCCCCAAATACCTGAGATCTATTTTGGGACTTTATTCTGACTCACCTACTCTGGTACCAATACCATACGGTAGCTTTTTATTTTTTGTAAGGCCAACAGGACAAGGCCACCCACACCTCTAATTACTCTCCTCAGAATTTTCTTACAGATTGTAGAATCAATACTGTCACACTCCAAAAGTAAGAGAATCTGTTCAGATTCCACTGTTGCTCTGAACTTATAGATTTAGAAAGAATTGCTATCTTCAGAAGGTTTAATTTCTATCCCAGAAATACACAACATTTATATTTCCTTCAGTTTATATGTATCTTTCTTTAATTAGATCTTATATATTGCTTTTTATCATCTTTATTTTTTACTTGTTTGAATGTATTCTTATTCCTATTAGGAAAGTCCTATTATAGAAAACGTTTGACATATGACACAAAATTTTAAATAGCCATCTGAGATCCTATGGGTCCTAACATAGTTTTAATAGTTGTTTCTTTGAGGCTTTCCAGGTTTATAGTCTTCTCACCTATAATGAGAATTCTCCTCTATTTTTTCAAACATGCATACCTCTTTATCATTATGATATGGTATGTGGCAATTTCAAAACAGTGTTACAATGATAATGATGCCATATGATACTGGGTAGTTTAGTTTCTGACTTTAAAGGGGAGTACTCTAATTGTTTACAACTGGGAAGGATGATGACTTTTGGTGTGAGGAAAACATATAATAAAGATACTCATACACACACACACACACACACACACACACACACACACACACTCACATATATCCTGTTAAAAATTAATGTATTCCTTTTTACTATGGGTTTTATTTTGTGGCTTTTAAATGTTTAAAAGGCAGTTTGCCTAACTATAATGTTTTGCACTCTTAGTTTCATTTTTAGTTTGTTAGTTTCATTTTTAGAAACTATTATAACCATCATCTGCATTTTCCTCCCTGGGTTACTAATGTTGTATATTATATTAAGAGCTTTCCTAATACTCATCCTTACATTTAAATGAGGAATACACCTGGCCCTGACAAAAGTACTATTATTTTAGTGTAATGCTGTATTCTACTTGTTCGTTTGGATGTTTTGCATCAATATTCGTATGTGAGATTGGTATACAGTAGCAGTTCTCAAAAAGGGGGTCCAAAGACACTTGGATAATAATCCCTTGGACCCTTAAGCAGTCCGACAGGTGAAAGATGTTACTGAAACATTATTTGCCTTTTTTCAATGTGTTGATTATCCACTGATGGTATAAAACTATCAACAGTAAATACTCTTTACTACTATACAATCTCCCAGGGCAGGGATGATACAGAACAGCCATTTCACTTACGGTCATACTTGTTGAAGCACTAAAAACTGTTAATGTTATTAAACCCTAACACTTGAGTATACATCTTATTTATATTCTCAGTGAGAAAACATAAGATAAAGCACTTTTGTTGCTCAAGAAATTCTGATGGTTATCTTGAGACACACTTGTGTTATGTAACTGCTGAAGTAGCAGTTTTTTCATGGCCCATCATTTTTCCCTATATGAATAAGTAACACACTATGGTCATTCAGACTTGGGTATCTGCCAGACATTTTCTCACATGTGAACAAAGTCAGCTTGTTACTTCAAGGAAGACAAGTGTGGTATTTATTTTCAATTATAAAATCCAAGATTTTAGGAGAAAATTAGAATACCAGAAAGGTTTTATCTACACCATAGACTTGAAAGCTTCACAATAAATACCTATAGGCTTTTCTGATGAGATTAGTGGTGATAACCAATATTATATAATGAAATGTTCCATTTAGAAGATCTGCTAAATTCAGTGATCTGATATTTTCCAAATTACCAATGTTACAAAATCAACACAGATCCAGAGTGCAAGACAGACTAATGGATTTTAATACATTAGAATACAACATATTCCTTCATGTCTTCACACTGCACTTTACAACTAACCTATAAAAAAATAACCACTTATTTAGTATAGTTTCAAAGGAGAATACACACGATTATCTAAAAGACTACTGAAAACAACATATCACAAAGAGGAGAATCCAGATGTTACTACTTTATTAAGCCAGATATTAAATGATATATAAAAATGTAAAACAATGCTACTCATTTTCACCAATATTTATTTTAGTTTGGAAAACAAAGACTTTTACAATTAAACCGTATTAATATATTGATTTAAAGTGAATATTTTTAATTTTTCAGTTTTAATTTCTTATACGATAAATATCAATAGATACAACTAGCATAAACAAAGCTCCTGGGATCTTACATAATTTTTCAGGGTGTAGAGAAATTCTTAAGAGCAAAAAGAAGCACAAGTCTAAAGAATGTTTATGCTATTGATTTATGAAGATATACACGCTTCATTTTTAAAAATATGGGAGCTTCCCTTCTTGAGCTATAATGGCTAAAGCTTTTAAGATGTTAAAAATTTCACCTGTGTGACCATAGGTGGAGAGAAGCAGAATTCTTTTCATTCCAATCTACTTCTCACTTTTTCCATGATTATAAGTGTTTTTTATTTCATAAGCAATGTAATGTACACTGTGTGATATAAAAGTTCTTCGTGGAGTTAAAACAGTGACTCTTGTGTTAACAGTTTTTGCTCCCAATTCATCCCATTTTGGCATCACCTGTTTTCACTTCCTTTTGCCGTTGATTTTAAACCCAAGCTATTTCTTATCACAAAACTTTTGTACTTTGCCTAAAATAGTTTCTGGAACAAGGCTAAGTAGACAGAACTTAACCACTGTAGTGTGAAGCTTTTAAACACAGATTCTGACTAGTATTCCCACCTTTGATTAGTTCACACGGATTTTTATGCAGACTAGAACCCATCATTCCTGGGGCTTTAGACTGGGGATATATTCAAACATAACTGCAAACAAAGTTAGAGGGAGAAGTAGGAAACTTAACACTTAATTCTTACAACCCTAAGCATATGATTAAGCCTGTTTTACTTGTGAAGAAACAAACTTAGAGAGTTATGGAACTTACCCTAAGTCACAAGAGCAGGAAGTAGCTGAGCTGGCATTAGAACCCAGGTCTGGAGGATTCCACAGCCCACCCTTTCAATCAATAGTACTCTGATGCCTCCTTCATATCAGGGAGTCAGGGAGACAACTGTTTCTTTTGTCAGAAACGTCTTTTTCTTCATGTTTTAAAAATAATGCCATAGAATCACAATTCCACCATCTTTTTATGTTATAAATATTTGGTATCATACCAACAAAAACAAAAACATTCTGAAATATATAAACTGGAATGTAAAATAGCCCCCTCTCACAAATCCATGCTCAGACAAGAACTCCAGACTCTTTTGATGTGTCAGTCTTACCTAAATGGGACCAAACCAAACATAGCCTTCTGCAAAACGGTTCTGTAAAACATCATGTAATGATGTTGCTTTTCTATGTCAACATCTCTAGATCTACCATTTCCTTTTTAATCTCTGTACAGTATGTGACCAAGTGGATGGGCTGAGTTCACTAATGGACTTAACATGTTCATAACAAGTACACTCATGCATCAGGATCTTTATTTTACTGTCCCCTCACTTCTTTCAGATCCCTGCTCAAATGATACTTTATGGGAGAAACCTTCCCTGACTCTATATATGACACTACCTCCTGTCATTTTCTATCCCTTATCACCACCTGATCCATTTTATTAATTTGTTTTGTCTTGTCTCTCCCAGTTAGAAAGTAAAAAAATTGTGTGCCAGTCACTAGGCACTGAGGATACAACCCGCACCCTTCACTGTACCCTCAGTGCCAAGTAACTGGCACACAACCAGCAACCAATAGATACTTGTTCAGTTAATCCCCCTGGCCTTGAAATGTTTTCTCTATACTGTATTTGAAAGTCCATATAAACTTGCTTTATTTCTGGACTTGCCATATAATTCCACCAATTCATCTACGTATCTTGTGCCAGTGCAAATGGTTTTAGTTGCTATAATTTTGTTTTAACATATGATATGCCAGATTTTCCTTCTTTTTAAGAATTTTTCTGGTTATTTTAACGTTTATCTGGAGGGATAATGTCTTTTGAAATTCTCATTAGGACTATACTGATTGACACAGGTTGAACTGCCATCTTTAAAAAAGTTAAGGCTTCCAACCAAAAACAAGATACATTTCTCCCAATAGTTATTCAAATCTGCTTTACAATGTTAAGTGAGATATTATAGTTTTCACTAAGCATGGAGTATATATGATGGTGCTTTTGTTAAAGGGATCTTTTCCCTCAGGTACGTTTCTAACTGGTTATTATTGGTACATATTTTTAAGAAGCTACTGCTTTTGGCATAAATGTATTAACGTATTAGGGTATTGTATGTATATACATATATATTTATATACGTGTATATTGTGTGTACACACACACACACATATGTATATACGTATATACACACATATGTACACACACACAGGGTTTCTCAACACTCATCATTTTACCAAACTTTTTAATTTAAGGTCTTTCAGGTAATTCCCTTGCATGTTGCATGTATGCAATGTTATCATATACAAATTATAACAATACTGCCTTATCTTTCCACTATTTATACCTCTTATTGGTTCACTTTTATAACACTACTAGTTAACTGGTTGGTACTTCTAAAAACACTTTTAAAGTAATGATACTAGAAAACACTTTTTATAATTCTTGTCTTATATCTTCTAGTATTTCAACACTAAATATTCTGGATATTAGTCTCTAATACATCTTTTCATCACATTAAAGAATTATACCTCTACACTTGGTTTATATTTCTAGTAAATGCCTATTCAATGCCTACTAAGATAAACATACTATTTTACTTCTATTAAAATGATGAATTATAGTAATAGATTTCCTAAAACTGAAGCATCCTTGTATTCTTGAGATGACTCCTACTTGACTCTGCAAGTTGATTTTTAATGAAAAACTAGATACTACTGACTAATCTTTTCTTTAGAAGTTTTGGATTAATATTCTGGAGAAATTTTTCAGGATGTTTGATCAATTATTGATGCTTATGTCATACTAACCAAAAATCTCCAAGCAGTTTTATTTCCTACATGGTGGAGAGAATGAGTTAGAAGTTTAGCTACTATGGTAAAACTAAATTCAAATCTCAAATTTGCCACTTGTTAGTTCTATGACCCTGGACAAATTCTTCACTTTCTAAGGTTCCATTTTCTTAACTATAAAAAGAAGAAAGAAGGTTGTTATGAAGCTTAACTGAGGTTAATTCAGGTGAAATTCTTAGAACAATGCTTGCATCATGTATAAAGTAAATAAATGTTAACTTATCATTAATAGGAGCCTTAGTATCCAATACAATCAGGACCAATGCCTTGTTAATAGAAAAAATGGGTAACAGGGAATGATTTAAAACAAATAAAGAAACACAGATACATAATTTAAACATTTTATTATAACTGAAAAATTAAAAATGTACATTTATTCTCCAATTTTCTGACACAGAGCAAGGCCTTTCCTTTGAACAGAGGATGCGTTGAATGGGACTCTGTATTCGCTTTCTTGAATAAACCACACCCATAACACATCATATCAAGGATTTAAAGCAATTTGAGTACTAAATTCTTCCAAATTTTTATGACTTATCTTTCTAACTTGCCCACCCCAACTTTGTTAAGTCTTTGCAAAGCACTGCATCTGTCTATATTTAATTAAAGGATATATATACAATAATAAAACGTAGGCATACAAAAAAAAAGTCGGTATACAAAAAAGTCAGTAAACAACTATCTCTTAGTCATCATACTTCAACTGGTAGGATAAATACATAGTCTTACTAGAGAGTAGTAGCCTATTAGCTGCAAACATTCAGTTTGCCATGTTATCAAACTAGTGTTACTTACAGGGGGACTGGGGAGCATCAATTAATCCAATTAAGTCTGCTGAAAGGAAGGTTCATAATATACTGGTATCTGGTATATATCATAGTATACTGGTAGCTGGTATCACAGTATACTGGTACCTCATACCAGTACCTTTCCTAAAAGTTCTCATCCATATTTTGAGAAACACACAAGTCTTAGAAGTTGTAAATTAACATTATTATATATGAAAGCCAAGGCTCTTTAAAAAAAATATTTTAAAATATTAAAGAGAAATGTGATTAACATGTATGCCCTTGATGACATAGGCTCTACAACAGGCTCCAAATAATGAAGACTTATGTTAGCGGGTACGTGCATATGTATACATTTGGTGTGTAGACATTCATATATAGATACATATAAATGTATATGCATATGCATATGTATATATAAAACAGATATTGTCTTACAGTACTCCAAAACATGAATTCTTCCACCCTGCCATACTAAAAAAATGTTACCTATCACGTATTGTCTCCTTCCTCATATTTATTTACTCTTTCTTCCCAGTCTTATTTTTTGGGCCTCTAGCCCTTTCATTTAATTGCAAAAAAGATCTAGGGACTTTAAGATCCTTAATTTTACTAGAACAAGGATCAAAGTACCCACATTCTAGTTTTTCCTCCACTCAGCAATCATTGGCCTTCAGGAAAACCATGTCGTTCTCCTAAAAACACAAACTTGAAAGACTTTAAATACACCCCCAACAAATATTACAGTCATGAACTTACCTTATTAATTCTAGTTGTGCAAGTTCCTGATTTGCTTGAAATATAGGTTTTTTAGTGAAGAGTTCACCGAGGATACATCTAACGAGAAAAATACCCATCATTACTAAATGATACGAATTTACTTCACTACCAAAAGCTTCAAGTAAATTAAACCATCAGTAAAACTATCTTACCCACAGCTCCATACATCAATGGCTGGTGTGTATCTTTCTTCTCCCAACAGCAGTTCAGGTGGACGGTACCATAAAGTGATGACCTTGTTAGTATATGGCCGACTAAAAAAAAACAAAAATCACTCTTTAGAGTTAGTATCTGTTAGAATAAGAGACATTCTCTTAGGAAATATTATTTTGGCTAATCAAAGCATAACAATCCGAACTAAAACCAATTCCATCTGCCTACGAAATTGAGACACGCTATTACATCTGACTATGATCATAAAATGCATCTGAGAGCAACGTGATTAAGCGAAAATTCCCTTAATACATAAAAATGAAAAGTAGTTGGCTGATTTTAACTGTCATTTGATCCAAAAAAGGTCTTTATATTTCAACTCAACTGTTCAGTTTGGTTTTTCCTTTCCATAAATTTAAAAGGAATTAACTGACTTAAAGGGAAGTTGAATGATTTTAACCAAAGCCGGCAAATTACTAATGTGTGGCAAGATACGGTACAAATTGGAATCACCTAACAAACATTTTCACCTGGACATATCTTTGACAATATTTCAACCCACTTTAGTATGCAAACACAAAGTACATGAATGTACTGTAGTAGCTGAGGTCTACTCTGCAAAGCGCCACAAGCAATAGGTATGATACCGTATCAGACGATTCCTTTGTCACCTTCTAACAGAGAAAATATACACATACTGCTACCTCTTTATTTGCCAGTGGGGCTTACATCCAGGGGACCAAACAGCCTGTAGGGAATTGAGATACTTCTCTTAAAAGGCTTGCAAACAGGGTCCCTCAAGCCAGGGACCAGCACAAAGTAGCTGTTTAAAAAGCAACTAGATTATATGTGAAGGATATTAATTTGCTAATCTTAAACCATCCACCAGAGGGGTAGGGGCCTGCTGGGACTCTCTCCAGAGACAAAGGCACTGCCCTGTGCCACTGTTGCACTCTCCCATGGCCCCACTAAAGCCAGCAGGCGCACCCCAGCCCTGCACTCTCCCGCAGTTGCACTAAACCTGTTGGTCACACACAGTCTACACAAGAGATGCTCCCTGATCACACGGCTCTAGTGGCCAGGGGTGACTGTGTTCCTTAGTCCCGTGAGAATGTAATAATCAGAGAAAAGGTTCTTGGCAGGCCACCATAACCAGGGCACCACACAGACTGAAACACACCCCCAGGCTTTCTGTGAAAAAGGCCCATTTATCTGTCCTAGAGCTTCAGCCTAAGGGACAGACTTCAGGTTTGCCACACATCTAAATGCTACACAGGTGCTCTTGGGGAATGTCCGGCAGGGGACACCATCTTTGCACTCTCCACTGGCCTCATTACAGCTCACTGGTACCTCCCAGAAAAGAGCTTATATATTTTGACTTTTCCAATTGTAGCCCAGGGATATCTCCAGATCACCTGGTCTGTAGGCAGAGGATTTACAATCGTGGTACCATACAACTATATATATTTGCATACGCTAAAAGCTGCCGCCTGAGGGTCTGGCTTCCAATCAACCTGAACTTAAGTGTTGACTGAGATCCCTCCCTTCAGAACACTGACTGGTCTTGGAACACCCTTAATAACTGGTTCCTAGCAAATATAAATCAGGCTGCTTAGACAAACACAAAGGTCTGAGAAACAGAAGAGCTAGGGCAAGGTTGAAAGACAAAGTTCATCTCCCACACAAGGCCACTCCTTAGGACTAGAAGAGGTAGCTGTTTTCCCTAAACATAGAAACAACACACAGAGTCAAGCAAAATAAGGAAACAGAAAAATATGTTCCAAACAAAAGAACAAGATAAAACCTGAGAAGAAAAAATTTAATGAAACAGAAATAAGTAATTTATCTAACAGAGTGAAAGTCATGATCATAAACATGTTCACCAATCTTGGGAGAAAAGTCAACAAACACAGCATGAAGTTAAACAAATAGATTGAAAATATAAGTATCAAAGGGAAGTCACAAAGCTGAAGATAGTAACTGATCTGAAAAACAGAAACTAAACTAGAGGGATTCAACAGCAGACTAGCTTAAGCAGGAGACAAGAGTAGTGATCTAGAAGACATAGTGAAACTCAAACAAACAGAGTGGAAAAAAGAAAAATATTAAAGTGAAGAAAGCTTAAGGAACCTATGGAACGACATCAAGCAGAAAAACATCCACCTTATAGGGGTACTGGAAAGAGAAGAGAGAAAACAAAGGGACATTAAACTTATTTGGAGAAATAATGGCTGCAAACATCCCTAATGTGGGCAAACAGATGTCCAGATCTAGGAAGCCCAAAAGGTCCCATAAAAAAAATTGAACTCCAAAAGATCCACAGCAAGACATAGTATAATTAAAATGTCAAAAGTAAAAGAGAATCCAAAAAGAAGCAAGAGGAAAACAACTTTAACATACAAGGAACCCCCCACCCCAGCCCCCTTAAGACTTTAAGCAGATCTTTCAGCAGAAAGACTCTAAGCAGATCTTTCAGCAGAAACTTTGCAAGCCAGAAGGGAGAGGCACAATATAGACAAAGAGCTGAAAGGAAAGAAACTTCCAACCAAAAATACTCTACCCAGCAAGGTTATCATTCAGAATTAAAGCAGAGAGAGTTTTCCAGACAAGCAAAAGCTAGAGAAGTTCATCATTGCTAAATTGGCTTTAAAAGAACTTTTAAAGGGAATTCTTTAAGCAGCAAAGGAAGTACACTAATTGAATAAGAAAACATGTAAGTCTCACTGGTAAAGATAAATATATAGTAAAGGTAATGGATTAATCACATAAAGCTACCATACAGGTTAAAAGACATAAGTAAAAATAATTGTAACTACAATAATCAGTTAAGGGACACACAAAAGAAAAAGATGTAAAATGTGACATCAAAAACATAAAATGGGAGGGGGGAGCATCATGGTAACCACAAAGTAAACATCTACAAGAGATACACAAAAATAGCAAGAAAGGAATCTAAGCATAACACTAAAGAAAACCATCAAACCACAAAGGAAGACAGCAAGAGAAGATAGGAACTACAAAACAGCCAGAAAACAAGGAACAAAATGGCAATAAGAAATATCAATAAGTACTTTAAGGTAAATGGACTAAATTCTCCAACCAAAAGACAAAGTGGCTGGAATAAAAAAAACCATCGATCTGCTACAAGAGATTTGCTTCAGATGTAAGAACATACACAGCCTAAAAAAATGGAAAAATATATTTCACACAAACGGAAACCAAAAGAAAGCAGAGGTAGCTTTACTTGTATCAGACAAAATAGATTTTAAAACCAAGAATGTAGTAAGAGACAAAGAAGAACTTTACATAATAATAAAGGGGTCAATCCAACAAGAGGATATAACATTTCTAAATGCTTATGCACCCAAGATAGGAGCACCTAAATATGTAAATATTAACAGACCTAATGGGAAAAATGGACAGCAATACAATAATAGCAGGGGACTTAATACCCCACTTACATCAATGGACAGATCATCCAGACAAAAAAAATCAGTAAGGCAACATCAGCTTTAAACAACCAATTAGGGGCACCTGGGTGGTTCAGCTGATTAGGCATCTTACTTTGGTTCAGGTCATGATCTTGAGAATTGTGAGTTGGAGCCCTATGTCAAGCTCAGTGCTGACAGCTCAGAGCCTGTGTCTCCTCTCTCTCTGCCACCCCCATGCTTTCTCTCTCTCTCTCTCTCTCTCTCTCTCTCTCTCCCCCCCTCTCTCACAAAACTAAATAAACATAAGAAAAAGATAAACAACTAGGATAAATCATGTGAGGCCACAAAGTAAGTCTCAATAAATTTGAGAAGACTGAAATCACATTAAGCATCTTTTTCAATCACAATGGTATGCAACTAAAAATCACTTACATGAAAAAAAAAACTGGAAAAAAATCCTAAGTATGTGGAGATTAAACAATATGATACTAAACCACCAATGGGTCAATGAAGAATTAGAAGGGAGAAGTAAGAAAATACCTCAAAACAAATGAAAATGGAAATACAACTTACCAAAATCTACGGGATGCAGCAAAATCAGTTCTAAAAGGGAAGTTCAAAGCAACAGAGGCCTACCTCCAAACAATAAGAAAAATCTCAAATAAACAATCTAACTTTACATGTAAAGAAACTAGAAAAAGAAGAACAAAACCCAAAGTTAGTAGTAGGAAGGAAATAACAAAGATCAGAGCAGAAATAAATGAAATAGAGACTAATCAGACAACAGAAAAGATCAATGACACCATGTACTGGTTCTCTGAAAACTAAACAGAACTGACAAACCTTTAACTAGCTTCAACAAGAAAAAAAGAGAAAAGGCTCAAACAAAAATCCCTAGAAACATACAGGCCTCCAAGACCGAATCATGAAGAAAAAATGTGAACAGACCAACTACTAATGAGACTGAATCAGTAATCAAAAACCTCCCAACAAACAAAAGTCCAGGACCAGATGGCTTCACTTATGAATTCTACCAAACAGAGAAGATTTAATACCTATCCTTCTAAAACTCTGACAAAAAATTCATTAAGAGAGAACACTTCCAAACTCATTTTATGAGGTCAGGATTACCCCGATAACAAAACCAGACAAAGACATTAAAAAAAAAAAAAAGAGAAGAGAAAAGAAAAGAAAAAAAAAAAGAAAATTATAGGCCAGTATCCCTGGTGAACACAGATGTAAAAATGACAAAGATGCCCATTCTATCCACCTTCATTCAATATGTCAAATTGCTCTAGCCAGAACAATTAGGCAATAAAAAGAAACAAAAAGCACTGAAATTGAAAAGGAAGAAATAAAAGTGTCACTATTTGTGGATGACATTTTATATGTAGAAAACCCTAAAGACTCCACAAAATACTATAAAACAAATTCTGTAAAACAGGATATAAAATCAGCCACACAAAAATCTGTTGCATTTCTATACACTAACAATAAACTATGAGAAAGAGAAATTAAGAAAGCAATCCCACTTACAATTGCATCAAAAAGAATAAAACACCTAGAAATAAATTTACTAAGGAGATTAAAGACCTGTTCACTGAAAACTATAAAGACACTGATGAAAGAAACCAAAGGCACAAATAAATGTAAAGACATATTGTCCATGC